CCCCAAAACCCCAAAACCCCAAGAGTCTAAAATATACAAGCTAAACTTAAATTGTTTGATAAGAAATTTATTAAGAGAATTTGATTAGAAATATAAAGTAAGCAGATGGAAAAAGAATTCATTCCTGAACGAATGTAACTTAGAAAATAATACGATGAAGCTATAGAAAAGCAGAAGAAAAAATATCTGATCTACTCTAAAAATAAGCCAACTGATGACCCTGTATTATATGAGAAGTGTTTTGAAGAATTTTATAGCTAAATTAGGAAAATCAGAGAGAATGGTCTCGGTGATGAGTTTTTATTTTAGTTAATAGAGTCTAACCCAATGGAAACTATCTATAATTGCCAATTGCATGAATTCTACAAAATCTATCATTTTCCATATAACAACTTGTATTCGAATGCAATACCAGAGTCACTCAGGGTAGAAATAATTTTTAGAAGCTTCCTCTTTTTTATTAAAAATAAAAATCAGAAAAAGAGTAAATTAAATCCGACTGCTAAAAATCAAATGCATTTTCGACAGATCAATTAATGTGATGGTGATATTGATTAATCACCAAGAATAAATACTATGATAGTTGATATTAATGAAGAAGATAGTAAGTCATACTTAGAGGAATAAAATAAGCAAAAATACTAGATAAGTCAATAAGAGCTGTGTAGCCGATTGGGGGATGCCAATTATCTTACCCGAATTTTTAAATTTGTTGAAAAAAATCAAATTCTAATTGAAAAGCACCTGATAAAGAGACTAGATAAATATGTTGTTGAGATTTTGAAAAAAGTAATAGAGTATGAAAGTGATGAGTACTATGGTGACTAAGGATAATTGATGGCGATTGATGAATACTCTTCTCAGATGATTCTAGATGTTGATCTTAAAATTAAGATTTTGTGTATGTTTTGGAAATTTGAAAAAGCTAAAATTTTCATTTACTAGCAAGTCCCACCTATTAATTGCACTCTCATTTAGTATGCAGCAAGACTACAGAAGTATCATTGGATTGAGTCATTAGTGGAGTATAATCTTTTAACTACAAGTCTCAATGATTACTTTGGAGGTAGAATCTAGACATTTGATGAACTAGTGTGCTTGGTTGTCCTTTGTGGTAATTTGAAAACTGATAAATTGAAGGACAGCCATTTGGTTAAGAATCTTATGGTTTAGTACAGCAATATGATTATGTAGGATCCAAAGAAATTTGATTACTAAGTAATGAAGAATATCAAGAAGTACGGCATTAGTCAGCCAGCTTTTGGAAGTAATGACATTTAGGAAATCTTATATAAAAGAAAGCTTGAAATGATATTTTATTTTGAAAAAATAATGAAGAAGAAAGGAGTGTTAAAAAATAAGTATATTTAGATAGAAGTATTCAAATTCATATGAAATAGATATCTAGAATTTTAGTAACTTCTATTGATTTAATTATATGATATTTTTATTTTTAATTATTCTATATTCTTTATTTAGACTAATTACAACATTTCTTATTTTCTGGGGTTTTGGGGTTTTGGGG